CCACCTTCCTGCCTCGCTTCCCTTTTTCTGTCTCTATTTTTTTTTAAATTTTTTTTTTTTTTTTTTAGGAGATAAAAAGGCAAACAGAGCGCTCTGGCGCTGGCGAGGGGCTGTTTGCCTGCCTCCGCCGAGGCCTGGCCAAGCAGACTTGGCTTCACGCCTGAGCAGTTTCTGGAGAGCGGCGCGCTGGAGAGCAGGGGAGGCAGCACCTGGCCCTGCTTTAGGAGCCATCTCCTTTTATTGACAGCCAGATAAGCAGGCGGGAGCCGTGGTGTTTCCAACGCTTCCCTGGAGGACCCTGCCGGGTTGCAGGGAGCCGCAAGCCCCTTAATGGCAGCGGCTCCAAAGGCGCCGCGAAACCCCTTCCTGGCAGCGCCCGCGGCGCCGTCGCTACCTGCCACCAGCGCGGGACTTGCGCGGCCGCCCAAGGGACAGCATCCCTGCCCCGGGCGGCTCCCGAGCCGCGGAACCGGAGCAGCGCCCCGCACAGCGCTGTGCCCCCTAATGGAGCCCAGCCCGGCCCGGGCGGGGGCAGCTTCATGAAACATTTAAGTGCAGCTCAATAAAACTATCGGCGGCCGGCGGGGCGGGCGCGGGGGGGCTCTTTGCCCGATGAATTATTTACCCTGACAAGTGTGTGCAAATAAGGGCCTCTCCCTGGCGCTCTAATGGGAGCGGGAGCGCACGGGGAGCCCGCCGAGGTGCCAGGGCAGGGGCAGGACGCGACTCCGCGGCCGTCCGTCCGTCCGTCCCTCTGGCAGCACTGAGGGCTCGGGGGCCGCGGCATCCCCGAGGAGCCACGGGGCTGAGACAGGTTTTGGGGGCAAGAGGAGAAGAAGGCAAAGCTCAGCCTAGAGCTCGGCCTGGGAAAATCCCGGCCGGGCGGGGGCGAGCCGTCGGGCCGGGCGGCAGCGGGAAGATGCAGCGACCCCGAGGGTGCCCCGGTCCAAGGGAGCCCCGTCCCGCGGCCGAGCCCCGGGTGGGGCGGGGCCGGGCCGGGCCGGGCCGTGCCGAGCCGTGCCCGCCGACGGGGCGGGCGGTGTCCGGGCTGGCTCTCGTGTCGCCTAAAATGTCTCATTAGCTAACTACTGTCCGCCTGACGTCACCGGGGCGGCCCAGCCAATGGGGGAGGCGCTGGCGTGGATATTAAGGGAAAGTTAGTGCAAAGGCAGCACCCCTCTTTTGCTGTCATTGACATTTAAACTGTGTGGCAGGTTCTCGCGTGGAAATTGGCCACCGGAGCCGCCAGGTGCCTCCTCCCTGCCGGCCGCGGCACCGACCGGAGCCTCCGCTCCCGCTGACAGGTAACGAGCCCGCACGGCCCCGGCCACGACGGGAGGGGTCGGGGTGCCCGGCACCCCCTCCCCGCGGGGGGAAGGCGAGGGGAGCGGGCCGGAGCCCCGCACAACAGGTGGGGGTGGGAGGGAGCGGCTCCGGCCGCTGCCCGCCCGTCGGAGGGGGCGCCGCGGGGCCGAGGGGGCGGCCGGAGCCGCTTGCCCGAGTTCCCCCTCCCCTTGCCCCCGCCCCGCTGCCTCGCCGTGACCCGGCTCGGGTGGCGGGGGCAGCCGCGGTTACCGCGCCCCTCGCACGGACGGGACGGGAGCGGCGCACGGAGGGCCCGGCCCGCACGGCCCCGCCGAGGGGCTGCGGGAACAGCCCCAGGTGGGTCCCCGAGCCTCGGAGCTGCCGTCGGGGGCCGCGTCCCAGCCGCTCGCTGCTCACCCGGGATGCTCGGTTGCCCCGCTCCGGCCGCCCAGAGGCGATCGCCCCTCGGCCCCTTCCCAGCCCTGCGTGCTCCTGCTAAATCAGGGCGTCGGTGGGAAACAGAGGTACCCTAGGAAGGCCGTTCTTGCTGCGAAATAACGCTAAACAAAATAACCTCTTACCTGTCTTTGAGCATCTCCAAATAGTCCTCGCGGTGCGTTAGCGGGAACGCTCCCTGTGATGCTCCGCTATAATATACCGGTAAATGGACATTCTCCTTCAGTAATAAATCAAACACCATCTATCTCAGATCCTCCTCCCTAATTAGAGATGTTTATTGGAGATGGTGTTTATCCAGCTGTCATGCCGAGAAAAAGCTGTGACATAATTACCTCTGACCAGATAGTCTTTTATATGCATATCTCGCTGACATATAAAGGAATCGGATTGCATTAAAAAAAATGACAAGATCAAATGTTGATTTTAGCCGATATAACAGTATTTCTGGCCATTAAATTAATTGAAATCCAACTTTTAGGCTCTCCAAATTACGAATCTCGCTGTTTAAACTTTTAATTTTTTTTTTTTAACGATTAAATAAGAGGTTCTACCAAAAGGATGGGCAGAGGGAAATACGCCCTGCAAACTTGCCCGCAATAAATCAAATACGCCAGCTAAAAGAAAAAAAGAACCCTCGACCCCCTCAGCCTAATAACACAATTGACGTGGATACGAGGAGTTTCTCCATCGGTTCCGGAGGTTTTGCTGCTGTTTTGGGAGGCCAGGAGGGTCCGGGATGGGAGAGAGGAGAGAGCGGGACACCTCCCCAAGGCTTTCTCCTGAATCCCCGCACCCGGCGCGGTGCTGCTCCCTTCGCTCCCGGGGCTTTGGCAGCGCCTGCGGAGCCATCTGCGCGGGGCTGCGAGCGAGCCCTGATAAGCCCCGAATTACTGTGTAATTGAAAATATATTTTTTGGGGAAAGGCTGGTTTTACAAATATCAGGGGTGTGTAGGCTTTTGATCCTTTCTGCCGCCTGTGTTCTCCGGTTGCTAATAAAACTCGCATTGAGCTCCTTAGTGGCTTGATTAACAGGCAGATTAACTGTTACTGGGGTTTTGAACAGCTTGTCCCAATCAATAGCGTTTAAAAAGCCCGTCAGGATGCGCTAAGCTTTCACCCCCCCCGTTCTTTTCTGAAGGCTTTTCGAGCGGCTCTGGTTGCATGACACTTTTCCCATATTTATAATCAAAGCCTTTCTCGTACGGAGAGATGTGTGTCCGTCTTCCAGTTTCAGAGCGACTTCGGCGAGGTCCAAAAAGGCTTTTTTTTTTTTTTTATTTATTTATTTTTTTTTATCCTGCCATGCCTCGTGCAAAAGGCCAACGTAAAAGAGGTTAAATCGATTCCAAACTTTTTTTGCGGATTGTTTATAAACTAGAAAAGCTCCACTTAACTCAGTGTCCTGCGCATTATAGGTTTCAAACACTGTCTCTACATATACAAATAGGCATTAAGTGTCCTGGAGGCAAAAGCATTGTAGTCTAAGACGTCAGGATTTGTGTATCTCTTCAGTTTTAGACCGGACTGGACAAGAGGACTTTAAGCATTTTTCTGGGTATTAAAAAAGGTAGTTTGCAGCCCAGATATTAATACAACGAGACGATACCGGAGTTTCTAACTCAGCACTTTCTGCTTTCGACACCTAACAAAATACGAAAGGGAAGCGGACGCTGCTGTTTGATATAAATCAATAGCCAGGCACAAGATTATATTTAAAAAGTGAAAATTATTTTAATTAGGAAAAAAACCCAAAAAGGCGCGTCTTGCCACGTATAATAGTTACTTACCTTTGGTTTTTAAACCATTTTTATATTACGCCCATTTTTTTTTTCTTTTTGTTTAGAATAGTTAAGGAAAAAAAAAAAAAAAGAAGAAGTGGAGGGAGGAAAAAAATAACGCGAACCAAATCAGACGCAGAAAAAAAATGCTAGTTACATTAATCCCGTGCGGATTTTAAAGTAGAAATCTTCAAAGAGTGCCTAAGTCCGTGCCGAGAGCCAGGGCCGGGGCCGCGGGGTCCCACGGCCGAGGGGTCCCACGGCGCAGTCCTCGCCCCGGAAAAGAGGAAAAGGGAAAGGGGAAAAGAGGAAAAGGGAAAGGGGAAAAAAGGGAAAGAGGAAAAGGGGGAAAAGAAAAAAGGGGGGCGGTCTGCGCCTGCAGGAGGGCAGGGCTTTGGGGCGAGGGGAACGCCGAGCACCTCACAGCGCTGCTGCTCCTCTCCCCCAGTTACAAAGGCCAGCGGAGTCAGTTTAGAAGTGGAAAATTCACTTCAAAAAAAAAAAAAAAAACAAAAAGAAAGAAAGAAAAAGAAGGGGAGGGGGGAGAGAAAAGGAAGAAAAGAAATTAAAAAAGGAAAAAAAGGAAAAGCAGGGCGGCCGGGCAGGGAGGGAGAGCGGCGAGTGGCAAACTGCTAGATGGAAAAAGGAAAAAGCAGAAGCACAGCGTTTCCTCTGGAGGTATCCAGGCCCGGCAGGCCCGGCAGTCCCAGCAGGACCGGGCCCGGAGCGGGGCAGGGGCGGGAGCGGGGCAGGTCCCTCACGGCCCCTCACGGCGGGCGGAGGCAAAATGGCGGCGCGGAGCCGGCCAGGCCCGTGGGGCTCCGCGCCGGGACAGCCCCGGCACTGCGGGACGCGACGGGGCGGCCCCGCTGTCGGGCCGGCCCGGCCCGGCCCGGCTCGGCTCGGCTTGGCTCGGCCTGGCCCGCCTCGGTTTAGCCCGGCCCGGCCCGGCCCGCTGCTCTTTGCTGCTCCAACTTTGGCTCGGGGCTCCCCCGCCTGCACACCGCCGTGACGTCACCGCCTCACCCCTGCCCTCCCCTCCCTGCACAGGGAGGGATTTTTTTCTTTTTCTTTTTTTTCCCCCCGCTTTTTCTTTTTCTTTTTTTCAGATGGGTAGGGGCGTTAAAAGTTTTTTTGGGGAGGAGGGAACACAAAGCTCGCGGCGCCCGAGGGGGAAATAGCAACAAGATTACGGCTGCTTTATTCTGGAGAGGAGGCGTAAGAAGGTGCTAATCCAAGGGATGGCTAATTGAGAGCTTGTAAAAATGATATTTGCCGGCAATTTCGGACAAAGTGGTTTTTCTCTTTTCCCTCTTTAACGCCCTGTGGACAAGAGTAAAAAAAAAAATCTCTTATTTGCTAGAGAGGGAGTGCAACAGGGAAAAAAAACCCCCTGCAACAACAACACCAACAGAAAGAGGAGGATAAAAAAAAAAAATCAAAAGCCACGGACACGACTGACTTCACTCCAGAAAAAGGACTAGATCCCAGCTTTTAACATCCCTTTGGATCCTCCGAGATTGGTGCGAGCTGACAAACCGCAGCCTCTTTCTCTCGCCCGCAGGATGCGTGCGGAGGGACGCCCGGCCTCGGCCAGCGGCAACTAGGAGGGGACGGGGACGGCTCGCCGGGACCCAGCCACCCACCCTGGAGGGCAGGCACACGGGGCACAGGTTCGTACTTCACTCTGCACTTCGCTCCTCTTCTCTTTTGCCTCTCTGATTTTTTTTCCTCGGCACCCCTGTTAGGATGTCCGGCCGCGGGCAGGTTAACTTGGTGGCGGATGTTACTTTGGAAAGTTTTGGCGAAGAGGAGAGGAGCTGGGGGCTGCCGGCTGAGGGAGATGCTTGGTGTCGGCAGAGCCCCCCTCGGGCTGCCCTTACCTTCAGGGTGGGGGGAATCCCGTCACACCCAAACGCTGCCGTGCGTCCATCGCGATATTCGGCTCCATTGCCATCAAAACGCGCGGCTCGGGGCCAGACTCGAAAGGAAACAAACCCCGCGGGCTGCCCTAGGCCTGAGCTGCAGGTGGGGCCGGCTGCATCCCGGGCCGGGAGGGCGGCCGCTCTCCCTTCCCCGCATCCTCCCAGGAAAGGCTTGGCTTGGGTCGCTCCCGGGATGGGGGAAAAGCCGGGAGTCGGTGCCCAGCGCAGCCCGGGCCTCCCGGGATGGAGAAAGGGCCGGGGGCCGGTGCCCAGCGCAGTCCGGGCGGTGAGCCGTGGGCACCCCGGCCTCGGGGGCAGGGTAGGGAAGGGAAGGGAGCGGAGCAGGGACGGGCAGCAGTCTCTTAAGAGCCCATTTTGTGCTATTAGGGAGCGGTGGCAGCTTCTCGGCGGGACAGGGGATGACAGTGCATGACGGCCGAGCAGCCCATTATCCCGCTCCCATTGAGGCGCCCTTTCACTCACATGCAAACTCCTTGGCAGAGTCGTTTGTCTCCTCATTGTACTTTATTTAAGAATGCAATGGTTGTCAGGGCTCTTATTCAATTTCAAGATACTTTATTGATGAGCTTTGACTTTTAGCACTTTTCACATGTCAAGAGAAGTCAAGTGTATGCGGCTACGACTTCATTTTATGCTTTGCGCGTTCATACTCTCCACTTTCCGCGGTGGCTCTTGGAATTTCTTTTTCCTGTCTCTTCTCCTTCTTCCCTTTCTTTTCCCCGAGCCCTTTTTTTTTTCTTTCTTTCTTTTTTTATTGTTTTTCTCGATGCAGACCCCCCTTCCCCCTCCCCGCGGCCCACTCGCCATAACCGATTGGGACACCCTGAGCTCGGACTGGTGCTCCCAGTGTAACCTTAAATGCATGCGCTGAGGGGTTGCTTTAGAGTTTACTGAGGTGTGTCTTAATAGTCCGGCATTCAACAAATGTACTTGTGGTGTGTGGTCAGAGCAGCAAAGTCATTTACTTACTTTCCCCCTCGAGTTTCTGGCAGCCAGTGAAGGGGGTTCCTTGCAAAAGGAGAGGGAAGGAGAGGGGAAGCCTCTTCGGACGGGCACAAAGCGGCAGCACTGCCCAGCGCCCGGCTCTGCCCTGCTCCAACTCCGCCGTGTGATCTTTCTTTAAAAAAAAAAAAAAAAAAAAAAAAAAAAAAATCAGCCCGGCAGCCCTTTAGTCAACAAATGGCACGTGGGAGAAGTTGGTGAGTGTTTGGTAAAGGACTCTTCAGGGCCTTTCACAAGAGCCCTCAATACACAAAGTAAATGGTGTATTTGCTCTGCTCTTTCCCGGCCGGGCTGAGCCTCCCTCTCCCGGCGCCGGGAGCCGCGCAAGGAGCGCCGCGGCCTCGGCCAGCCCCGCGCCCAAAACGTTTATACCTTTACCATTTCACTGCTAAAGGTACAAACACCCCTTATCTCCCACCGCCGGACTGGAGATGTCGGAACTGTTTAAATGCAAATTGATCTCATCTCCCCCCCCCAACCCTTCCCTCCCCACCGCCTCTCCTCCGCCATCAGCACCGCGGCCCCATCCCCCAGCCCGACCTGAGGACGCGGCTGGGAGCGGAGCGGAGCGGGAACGGCGGAGCGGAGCGGAGCGCGGCCGCTGGAGCGGAGCGGAGCGGGGCTGGCGGAGCGGGCCCGGGGAGCGGCGCGGGCTGCGGGCGGCGGCGGCGGCGCCGGGCCCTGCGCATTCATATTCAAACGCCTGGGCCAATTGGGCCGGGGCGGGCGGCGGCGGCCAATGGGCGGCGGGGAGGCGCTGGCGGCGCTTTGCATACGGCGATATTCGGGTGGGAGCGGGCGGGCGGCGTTTGCACGGTGCCGAGTGATTAGTGGGTTTGAACCGCCGGCCCCGGCTCCGCCGCATTTCCCGCTCGGGTCCCGGCGCAGGGAGGAAGTGTTTTGCTGGAAGATGATGACAGAGGTCAGGCTTCACTAATGGGCCAGTGAAGAGCAGTGGAGGCGAGGCAGAGACCAAGGCACACGCACATTAATACACTTGAACCATCACCAATCAGCATAGGTGTGCTCTGCCTCTCTCTCCCCACTTCACTCACACACTCTTTTATCTCTCGCTCTCCAGTCACTGACAGCCCATTTTATTGTCAATCTCTGTCTCCTTCCCAGGAATTCAAGATCACACAACCAGCAGCTTCAGTGGAGAAAAACTATTTTGCTGGCAACTCTTTTTAAAGCACCATCATTTCAAATCAGTGCGCTCTTAAACTATTGACAGGAGCTTTGACAACAAGACAGGATGCCTCATAAAGGTGAGTCTGTTCGTTTATTCTCCCAACTTCTCCTTCCTCGCATTTTAATATTTAGGCAGGGCTGTCTCCCTCACCCCTCCTCTCTCTCTCTCTCTCTCGCTCATATTCCCATTTGCATTCCGGAGAGCTTCCCAGGGAACTTTCCAGCCCAGGAGCTCACAAACTTTCTGCCTTTCACATAAGCCCGTGTCCTCTGGAAAAGCTAAAGCATCTGACTCGGGAAACCAATGCCAACACCAGCAGCAGCAATTCATTCCCACGCAGCGCTTGCTGCTCAGGGAAACCAGCAGCGCCGGTGTCTGCGGTGCCGCTGCTGCCCGTGCCCGGCTGCTCGGGAGCCGGGCTGGGCTCCGGCCCCACGCCACGCAGCGTGGGAGGGAGGGAGAGAGGGACAGAGAGGGAGAGGAGGGAGGGAAGCGGCGCCTCGCTGCCCCCGGGGCGGCCCCGACTTCTGCTTTGTGCTCTGCGTTAGGGAAGGCTCGCTCCTGACGGTGGAGAAAAACACAGGGAGAGCGGCCGGGAGAGTTGCGTGGGGAGGGAAAAACAAAAAACAACAAAAAAAAATTAAAAAAAGGAACCCATATCCTAGGCCAAGTCAGCTCCCAGGCGCGGTACAGGCGGGGAGCTGAGCGGAGCTGAAGGGCTGTCAGCTTTAATCAGCCACCCGGGGATCTTCCCAACTTGTCCCCAGTGCCGGCAACTTTCCCAGCTCCGGCGCGGAGAGCCCGCACCGAGCCCCGCCGGGCGCCCCGTCCTGCCCCGCACCGGGCTCGCCCTGCTCCCGCTCTGGGGAATTATTTTTGCTCCCTTTTTCAATCCAAATGCTTTAATTTATTGTTATTTTTTAAATTAAAAAAACCCATAACACCTTTTATTTCTACAAAACCCTCTTTGATCCAATCCCTCTCTACAGCAAAGCTTTTTTTTTTTAAACTTTCAAGAATTTATAAACTCTTCCCCATGCAAGAAAAAAAAAATAATTGCTCCAGCGAAGCGCAGCAATAAACTTGATTCTATTTTCCCTCACAAGTGCAATTGCAAAAAAAAAAAAAAAAAAAAAATCTGAGTTTGAATTTAACCTTGCAACTCTTTGCATGGAGGGGTTACATGGGCACGCAGAGCAGGAATAAATTCTGGAAAGTTTAAAAACAAACTTTCTCGAATGATTCAATGTACCTGGCAGAGGTTGTTTTGGAAAACGACAACCACGTACTAGAGAAGAAAAGTGAGTGCATCTTCCCCATCTTAGGAGCATAAAATAATAAAAGTGGCCCTTGACAATAAATGTTTATAGCTGCTGACCTTCACCAGCAACTCACCGCAAACCGATTCGTTTTTACCTCTTTCGCGTTTGCCCCGGGAAGGCGAAACTTTGCCCTTAACGCCTGGACGCGGTTTCACCGGGAGAGAGGGGGGGAAAAAATGCTCTCTGCCATGAGATTACGCCAAGATTTCCAGATTAAACTCCGAGCTGCGGATGAGGCCCGGCCTATTAGGACGCGGCAAATCGCACCGGGGCTCCGGGGGTGCCGCGGGAGGAGCCGGTGCCTCGCTGGCCGTGCGGGGCCTGCCCGGGGCCGCTGCTGAGCACACACGCAGCTCCTCGCCCCTCTCACCTTGCTGCAGACCTCGGTTACCCTCTCCTTTTATTCTAAACCTCTCTCGGCTGTGTTTGGGTTTGTTTTGTTCCGCGGCCTTTTTATTTTTGTCTCCCCCCGGTTCTTTCCTCTCAAACCCTCTCGGTGTCACTGGCGAGGTGCGTGCGGGCAGGGCTGGGTTAGCTGCAAGTTTTGCCGCTGCCTTTTGGGACGGCTCCTCCGGCCCCGTAGGCCCCGTGTTTGGGATTTTTGCGTGAAATGCGGGAGGAAATGGTGTGTGGGGCGGTGGGCTCGCCGCTCGGTGCGTGCCCGTGCAGACGTGTTCGGTGTGTTAAAGGGATGGCTCCGCGCTCAGCTCGGCCGAAGGAGACATCCCCGCGTCTCCTTTGGAGTGAGCAGCGAAGCTTGCTCCGCTGCTAATCAGGTAGCTCTCCAAAGAGCAGTAAATATTTACCAGCTAAAGTCTTCACGCTGCGAGAAAGTGCTTGTTTGATGTTTATTTTTATGGATTTGAGATTACTAAAAGCTACTTAATAAATTATACCGTGGCTGGTCCTGAATGGGGAAACGTGCCTCTTTGATTTCTCCATCATATGCAGGAAGAGTAAAATTAATATTCATTATAGGCGCAAAAGAAAGAGAATGAGTATTTTTAGGCGAAAAAAAAAAGGGAGAGAAAATGAAGGCTGCGACTATTTCATTATTTTACCTCCTTTTTTTTTTAGCAGCCCCCTTGAATGGGCTCTTTATTGTAATTGTCCCTCCCCAATTGAGCACCCCACTGAGCTGTTGTATCTTTTTACAACCCCTAACAACTCGCACCAGTAACACAATTACCGCCAGATATTTATAACGAGAAATTACTTTTCCATTTTCACCCGCGACGATTTCAAATAAATACGCGGGGACGCATAAATAAATAAATAAGTGGGCCGGGGGCTGGCGGCGGGAGGGGGTGGGAGAGGGAAGGAGGGAGGGAGGGAAGGAAGAAGGAAGGTGGCGAGAGGAGGAGAGAGGGAGCAGTGGAAGGAGGGAGGGAGCGGGGGGGAAGGCGCTGGGGACTGTCCAGGCGCTGGGTCAAGGCAGGCACTAATGAAGGGAGAAGGGGCTTGTTTCTCTGCTCTTTGTAAGTTGGAGGGTTGTTGGTCCGTTGAGTTGGGAAGCTGCGCGGCCGGTTAAGGAGCCCGGGTTTCTGCACTCGGGGTTTGGGTAGAGGAGCAGAATGGAGGCCATTGTTCGCTTTCTGTAGGCTTTGTTTAACAGTTCTCACCCCCTCCTGTTCTTACTTTTTAAGGCAGTGAGGCGAGGTAGACAGCGTGTGTCACAGTACAGTGAAAAAGGGGAAGATCTAAAGACCAAAAAAGAAGTTAATCACAAGACGGGGGGTTTGGGGCAGAAAAAGTTGCGAGCGCCGCGCGGAAAGGGGGAGAGAAAAAAAAAAAACAACAAAAAAAACAAACCACAAAACAAAAACAAAACAAAGCAAAAATTCCAAAAAAACCAAAACAAAACAACCAAACTCGAGGGAATACCCGGAGGTGAAAATGGAGCCCCGCTCGCAGCACGCAGGGCAGCGGCGGAAGGTTCCCCCCGCCGTGTCCCCCCCGCGCAGCGCCCGCGCAGCACCCGCGCAGCGCCCGCGCACCTTGCCGGGGCCGCTGCACGCTTCTTAATGTACTTCTTCTGCTTTGTCCTAGAGGGAAGACTTTAACTAGTGACACGCAGATGTGCGAGTCCCTAAATTGTATGAGAGGACAGTCCACCCCGCTTTCAGGCAAGTTTTAAAACATGACTTCGGACTCTCTTTGTGATTGTTGTCGCTCCACTTAATACACCACCTCAGCGAAGAGCACTAACGACGAGGCAGCACGCCACCTGCATGCAATTAAAACGAGAAACCACTTGGCGGGCTGCTTTTCTTAAATTTTTTTCCCCCTGCGAGTTAGGGATACATATGAACTTTTTTTTTTCTTTTTTTTTTCTTTTTTTTTTTTCTTATTTTGCCTTGAGGTATTAAAGCCCTCAAATCCTTAAACGAACCGGGGGCGGGAGGGGGAAGATGCCTAAGGATAACAAAGTTATCCTGTGCGATATTAGCCTCTCTGCAGCTTAACCCGCGTGCATTGCCTGCCCTGATTAACGCCTATTTTGTCACTGCTAGACTGCTATAGGCGACCCCCGTGGGATTCTGCTCTCTCAGCCCACCATGCAGAACAGTAAGTGCCTGCGGGCAGCGCAGCGGGCGGAGGGCTCCGGCCGGGCCGGGTTGGGAGGCGGCTCCGCGGGCAGCGGGGCCCTGCGCGCCCGCCCCGTCGGGGCTCGGGTACCCCGGGGACGGCGGGGCCGGGCCCGGCAGCGCTGGCACGGCTCTGGGGCCGCCGCGCCAGGCCCAGCACCTGCCCGCATCCCTGCCTTGGCTGCCCTGCGAGCTGGGCAGGAAAAAGCCGCTCCGCGTTAGGTGCGGCTCCTCGCCACCTTTGGGTTTGCGCGCTTCCCGATGTCTCCGTGGCTTGTTAATTTTTGGGGTTTTTTTGGGGGGTGGGGGCTTTTTGTGTTGTTGTTGTGGTTGCTGTTGCTGTTTAGGACCTCGTGGGTAGGCCTGTGTGCCTCTCGGAGGGGACAGGGTGAGAGAACGCGGGCGCCGAGCCGGGTGTGGCGGCCGGGAGAAGCGGCCGCTCCTTGCGCCCCGGAGGAAGGGGCTGCGCGGGGCTCGGAGGGGCTGCCGGGCAGGTCCCAGCCGCTCCGGGCTAGGCCTCGTCTCCTCGGGGCGCGGATCCTCCGCGGGGTGGGCTCCGCGCCCCGCGGGCCCTCTGGTTCTGCCCGCGCAGCGGCGGCGAGGGGCGCAGGTCGGGCTGCGCGGCCCTTGCGCGGGGCGCGGAGCTCCTCTGGACCCTGACAGGGGACGCGCGGCTCCGGGACCCCTTCATCATCCCACCCTGAACCCATTAATAAGTTGTGCATCCGGAAAAGCAGAGGGTTTAGGGATTTCTCAGACATCCCTTGAGTGAAGCGCTTTTTTTTCTCTTTTCCCTTTATTTATCTTTTTTTTTTTTTTTTTTTTTTTTTTAATATGGTTTGCTTCGATGTTACTTTGTGGCGGTTTTGCCCTTATTTATCTGCCGGGGCTGCTGCGTGCGGGTGCGTGCGATGCAATTTCATTTATCCCGAGCCAAAACGGAGCCCGGGCAGCCCGGGAGGGTTTTACCTGCGCCTCGCAAGGACGGCGGCCGCTGCCCTTGGCCGTGGCGTGCCGAGGGTTTATGGTAATGGGGGATGCCTTCACTTGGCCGTTTGGGATCGCCACTGCAAAACGCAGAAAAGATATCATTCGGGTGAAGCCTTTATTTTGTTTAAAGGTCGCGGCGGGCTCTTCAGGCTTTGTGTTAATAACTCCTGGGTGTATATGGTGCAGAGCATCCAAATTGACACCATATGTTTTCCTATTAGATGACTAGCAATAGAATACAAGGCGCATAATCATTGCCACTGGGCGAGATCTACACCGCTCTCCAGGGAAATTATATAATGATTAAGGCTTAACCTTTTAAGTGAAACTTTGATTTTGCTTTCCCCGCTGCCATTTTTTTTTTTTTTTTTTTTTGATGTCGGCGAGGGTCTCCCCCGCACGAATTCGCGGGGATCAGGGGCTGAGGAGCAGGGAAGGGGGGGAGCGGCCGCGGGACTGCGCCCCCGGGCGCGCATCATCCCGCCCCGGGAGAGAGGGAGGGAGGGATGGAGGGATGGATGCGGGATGCTGGGAAGCGCAGGTCGCAGCTCCGGCCGCGCTGCTGGGCCGGGGCGGCAAATTCCCCAGCCCCGATGTCACTTCGAATCCATTGCGCGGGGAGCGCGCCCCCTCGGTGTGTCCGCGCAGAGCCCCCGGCTACCGCGAACCGCAGCCTCCCTCGGAGGGAGAGCGAGTAGAGTTCAATCTAGTCTGAGTGATATCCAAATGCGGACAGAAAGGGTCGTTTTATCATGCTACTATTTGTCGTGACGATGCAATTTTCAAAAGCAGAGTACTGTCATAAAGTGACACGCCTGCCACAAGTGCTCCAACTGATCTTTTCAATTAGCCTTCCATGCATGATCCGGGGCGACTTCCGCCTATTTCCAGAAATTAAGCTCAAACTTGACGTGCAGCTAGTTTTATTTTAAAGACAAATGTCAGAGAGGCTCATCATATTTTCCCCCTCTTCTATATTTGGAGCTTATTTATTGCTAAGAAGCCTGGGCTCTTGGAGTCAATTTATCAGGAGGCTCCAAAGAGAGGAGAGCGGAGAGCGCGTAGAGCAGAGCTTCTCCAGGGAGACCCTCAAAGCCTGGAGCTTCAGGTTGGGCACTGGCGAGGCAGCCTCTCGCTTTGCTTTTGGCGAAGCGAGCTGCGGCTGTGCGGATGCAGGCAGGCTCGCTTGGGCTTTGGGCTTTTATTTTATTTTTTTTTTTTCCGGCGGGGTGGAGGATAAAAAAAAAAAAAAAGAAAAAGGAAAAAAGGAAAAAAGGCAATGCAGAGGAGCAACCCAAGGCGATGCGGCCAGGAATATTTCTGGGCTTTTGGGTTGGGTTTCGGGGGTTTGCGGCTGCGGCCGGTTTCGCAGACGGGCAGCGCGGTTTGGGAGGCGCGGAGGGCGAGGATGGCGGCGGGACCCGGCGGGGAGCGGCGGGCAGGGACGCGCTCGGTGCCGCCCCGGCGGGGGCTGCGCGGCTCGGGCACGGGCACGGGCACGGGCAGCGCAGGGTGCTATGGTGGGCGCTGTGCTTCCCGCAGGTCACAGCGGCGTGAACCAGCTCGGCGGGGTGTTCGTCAACGGGAGGCCGCTGCCCGACTCCACGCGGCAGAAGATCGTGGAACTCGCTCACAGCGGCGCCCGGCCCTGCGACATCTCCCGGATCCTGCAGGTGAAGGCGGCGGCGCCCCCCGCGCTCCCACCGCTCCGTCCGCTCCGCTCCAGCGCCGCTGTGTCACCGCCGGGCGCTGCTGCGACCCCCCCACACCCACCCACCGCCACCGCCACCACCACCCGCCTTCCAGCCTAATAAAGCGATCCATCCGCTCGGTTCTTGCCGCAAATAGACCTTCCGATGCGTATATATAGAGATATATATATATGCCTTTTCAAATATCGCAGTTTTTTCGCTTTTCGTTCCCCCTTATTTCCATCCGGTGGTAACCTGCACTGTCGTTTACAGTTAGTTGGCTGTAATAAACTGAATTATACGGCTCGGCATAATTTCAGTTTCCTCTCCTTCCCTCCGTACCCCCCCCCCCCCCACCCCGGATTTACTTATGATTTTGTGATATCTGTATGCATTTGGCGTGGCTTACTCGTTTTGGGTTTTGGTTTTTTATTTTTTAATTTTTACCTTTTTTTTTTTTTTTCTTCTAATAAGCAAAACAATACCTAAAAAAAAAAAAAAAAAGCTAAAAAAAAAAAAGAGAGAGAGAGAGAGATAAAAGAACCCCCTTCAAAGCCACGCCGTTTTAGCCCGGAATCTGTCCTTACGGACATTCCCGCAATCTGGCGCAGTTCAGGGGTATTTTGTAAATGTAGGTCTTGAAAACCCTTCACTCACCCCTTCCCCCTCAAGTCCTTTGGCTAAGAGCAGTGAGAAGGATGGAGACTAGTCTGGTTTACCTATTGTTCGCATTTAAGGCGTATTTTAACCTTGATACTAAGAGAATTACGTTTTGACCAGATGATTTTTTTTTTCCTTCCAAATGTTTTTAAAGTATCACTTTTGTAGAGGGTAGGGCCACGAATGTAATTTTTTTTTAAGAAAAAAAAAAAGACTCTCTAAGTAAGTTCTCATACCATTTAAGGTATATTTTTGTGTTATAGACCCATGCAGATGCAAAAGTCCAAGTGCTGGACAATCAAAACGTAAGCTTGTCATTGTTTAATGCATACTTAAACAATTTTATTTTTGTCTTGAAATTATTAATAATGTGATTTTCTGTCCGCTTCCCTATCCAGGTGTCGAATGGATGTGTGAGTAAAATTTTGGGCAGGTATTACGAAACTGGCTCCATCAGACCCAGGGCAATCGGAGGTAGTAAACCGAGAGTAGCGACTCCAGAAGTTGTAAGCAAAATAGCGCAGTATAAACGAGAGTGCCCCTCCATCTTTGCGTGGGAGATTCGAGACAGATTACTATCAGAGGGGGTCTGTACCAACGATAATATACCCAGTGTAAGTTCATGAAAAAAACCTTCCTGTGTGCCGTGTACAATGCTGGGTAGCCGTAGCGAGCCTCTGCTTCCTTTGTTTTGGTATCAGAAGAGAGGATAGCAGGTTCACATCATTTGCATGTGGCAGGGTCAGACGCATTTTTTCATACAGAATCTGACAAATGCCTTTAAGGAGGGGAAAAAAAAATAAAAAAAAAAAAAAACAAACCAATATGCGGGTCACCCCTGTGCCTGGCGCCTCAGGACTGCAAGCATCAGTCGGAGCCATCACTCTGGTTTTGCAGGGTTGGGTTTGGGGCGCTTATTTTTTTTTTCCCCTTTGCTTTTTTTTTTTTTTTTTTTTTTTTTCCCTTCTTCCCCCCCCTCCCCCGTGGTTTGTTTGTTTGTTTGCACCACCACCACCAGCAGTGAGCGAGCCGGGGCGGCGGGGACGGCTCAGGGAAGCCTTGACTTGCGCCCAGGTCGAGCCGCCCGCTGCGCGGGGGGACGCGGGGGTTGCGCGGGTGCCTGGCGGGGAGCGCGCTACCGCACTACCATTGCCTTTCCTGTCCTTTGCCTTCCAGGTGTCGTCGATAAACAGAGTCCTACGCAACCTGGCTAGCGAAAAGCAACAGATGGGTGCCGACGGGATGTACGACAAGCTAAGGATGCTGAACGGGCAGACGGGGACCTGGGGCACCCGGCCCGGCTGGTATCCCGGCACCTCGGTACCCGGGCAGCCCGCTCAAGGTAAGGCACAGCTCGGCGGCCGCTCCCCGGCCCGGGGCGGCTCGGTTCGGCTCGGTTCGGCCGAGATGGGTCCGCCTTGCCCCTTCCCCGGTGGGGGTCCCTCGGTGGGCAGGGGCAGCCCGGCAGCATCCGCGGTGCCGGCAGCCTGGCGGGATGGGGGCTGAGCCTGGGCCTCGCCCATCGCCCGCTAATTGGGGCTGCCGCTCCCTGCCCGAGCCGGGGTCTCTCCCCGAAGCCGGGGCCATCGGGAGCTATCTCCGTAGGGCTGATTGTAATTCCTCCTCAATGGACCCGAAACAACTTTGTAAATATAGGAAACTGTTTATCCTGAAGATTAATAGGTATTTGTTGTAGGAATGACAAGGGGATAATATGAAGGATAATGGGATGTTACGTTACATACTTAAGATGGTTAATGGCTTCTTTTTGAATGCGGGCTCTGTTGAGGCTCGGCTCTCCCTGGCTCTGGTCATTCCTTTAGAAGAGGTGTCTATATACAACAACCTGCTTTTTGTTTTCACCCCGCAAGGAAAAAAAAAATCGGTAACAGTGTGCGGAATATCTGGTACAAAGGATGTTTCTGTCACACGCAAGAATTTGTTATGGGAACAATTCTGTCGCTATGTAATTGCTCATTAGAGATCGTTTTGTTTCTCATTAAGGCGACATGAATAAGCGTCTAGTTGAAGGAGACAGCTGTAGAAATGTTCCACAGGAGACCTCTGGACACGATATGGCACCGCTTGCCAATTAGACATGTCAGTTTTAAGAGAAGAAAACAGTCTATGAAGGACACTAGAAAGATAGAGCGGAGCCCTCGCTTCCCCCCACCCCCGCTTCGGTGTTTTTTTGTTGTTCGGTTGCGGGGTTTTCTTTTGGCATTTTGTTGCGGGCCCGGCGTCCACCCCAGGAGCCGGGACCGCCCCGGCCTCGCCCTTACCTGCGGGGCCCGGCCGTGCCCGGAGCGCGGAGCGGGGCAGCGCGCCCTCCCTCCGCGGCTCCCTCCGGCCAGCGAGCTCCTGGGCGTTCGTGTTTATTTATTTGCCCTTAGGAAAGGCGCTCAAAAGGAGAAATGTCGGGCTCCCCGCCGCGGAGCGCTGCGCGGGTGCGGAGCGGGCACACCTGGGCGGCAGAGCCCGCTGTGCCCGGAGTGGGACCTGCGGGGACCGGGGGCTCTTTGGGGACCCTTCCGTGGCGCGGGGAGCAGCGCAGTTTCCGCGGGAGACCGCGGGAGCCCTGTCCGAAACCCGCACATGAGGCAGGGCAGGGCTCGGGCCGCGGGTGTGCGAGGGGGAGGCAGGCAGGCGCTTAAAACATCCGCACGGCGAAATTAAAATTAATAAAATGGATTTCCTCTGGAATATTCATGCTCCCTCTAATGTTTTTCCCTAGCCAGGGGTATGTTGCTGGATTTTAAGAGTCCATTACTCAAAAAGCATAAGGCGAGGTTAGGTCTCAGAGGGGTACAAATATGGTCTCAATCTGATAAACGCCATGCAGCAGTGAATAAAATAATGGATACATGAGGGCTGACAGAACAAAAAGAGACATCTCTATCCGGGAGAAATTCTCCAGTGATTTAGTGGTTTTAGGGATCACCGAGACACTGTTTCTTATCTTTTTTTCTCCCCTCCCTCTCTTATAAGACTAAAGCCTTCTATAGGATTTAGACACTTTCTCTTTCAACAGATGCTACAATGTTTTGATCCCGGCTCTATAGCTGAGAGGTGCTGCAATTGGTTTGCTATCTTTTTTTGCTTGTTTTCCGCCTCACTGATTAAGACACTAAGAAACTAAGGAATGATTTTATTTCCCAGCGTCTTTTTTTTTTTTTCTTTTTTTTTTCTTTTTTTTTTTTTTTTCAGGAAACAAATCCTATACCCAGCGTCAGATGGTCTGGCTATAGGATAATAGGGACGGACATTCACTTGCTTTCTTACGGATTAGGTCTGGAAGGTGGAACAGCCCTATTGAGATAGCTTCTTTTAGGGGCTTTAAAAAAAAAATCCAAACAACCAAAACTCAAAGAAAAAAAAAAAAGAAAGAAAAAAAGGGGTGTGTGTCTAAAAAGAAGATATCTTAATTGTCCAGGACAGGGTTGGAAATGACCATAAGCGAGTTTAGGTGAAACTTTACGTTGGCCTAATGATTTTGGGAGGATGGGGTTGGAAATGACCACAAGCGAGTTCAGATGAAACGTTGGCCAAAAGATTCTGGCGGGGGGGAAGGGAGGATTGGAAATGACCATAAACTGGTTTAGGTGAAATGTTAGATTGGCTGAATGGGTTGGAAATGACCATAAGCGAGTTTAGGTGAAACCTTAGGTTGGCTGAAAGGGTCGGAAATGACCATAAAAGAGTTTAGGTGCAACCTTAGGTTGGCTGAAAGATTTTGGGGGGACAGGACTGGAAATGACCATAAGCGAGTTTAGGTGAAACCTTAGGTTGGCTGAATGGGTCAGAAATCACCAAAAGCGAGTTTAGGTGAAACCTTAGGTTGGCTGAAAGATTTCGGGGGGACAGGACTGGAAATGACCATAAGCTGGTTTCTGTGAAATGTTAGTTTGGCTGAATGGGTTAGAAATGGCCATAAGCGAGTTTAGGTGAAACCTTATGTTGGCGGAAAGATTTTGAGGGGACGGGGTTAGAAATGACCATAAGCGAGTTTAGGTGAAACCTTAGGTTGGCCGAAAGATTTTTGGGGGGACGGGGTTGGAAATGACCACAAGTGAGTTTGGGGGTAACTTTAGGTTAGCACCGAAAGGCTTTGGGGAGCCGGGGGGCGCGCCGAGACGGGGTGGCGAATAAGCGCAGCCTCAAAACTTCGCATCGGGGCCGCCCGTTTCGGGGGCTGCCCGGTGGGCTCCCCCCGGCTCGGGGGGCCGCGTCCATCCCCCCGGGCGCCCCCCCCGGCCCCGGGCGCTGCGGGCGCGGCCCGAGCGGACAGTGATGGATGAGGGCGGTGGCGGAGGTGAGCGCGGCCCCTCCGCGGGCGGGCGCGGCCCCCGGCGCTGCCACCCGCGCTTGGCAGGGCGCTGCCCCGCCGCGGCGGCCGTCCCCGGGCCCGGGGCTTTGTGTGCCCTGAAAAGCGGCTCCCCCCGCCCCCCCGCTATTCACCCGCCGCCGGCCGCCTCAATGGGGCTGCGGCCGCCCATATGGTGACCACGGCCGCTGAATCCCTGTGTTTAAATGGAGGAGAAAGTTCGGGTTTTAAAACATTTCAAAGTGGTTGAAAGGGTCCCACCAGATCCTGTCACAATTCCCCCCGAGCTTTGAAGGCCGGGGCCATTGTTCGCCGATTATAAATGATATTACTTTAAAGTTGATTTCCCACAATATTTAAAGGATGTCGCGGGAGTGTCGCTATTTATTTTTGGCGTAACTTTTCAAGGGAATTAGCATAAGTAGCCCATGCGTCCCTCACCCCGGCTCCCTCTTTATGCGACATCAAAAACGCTTCGAAAAATATGCTTTGAAAGGAGAGGGAGAGCTCATTTAGGACAAGGACTTCTCTGCCTCGCCGGCAGCCTCCGTCCCTCCGGCCCCGGCGTTCGGGGGTGCCCGCCGAGCCCCCCAAGAGCAGCCGGCCCCGGGCCGCACCGCCCCTGCCCGGGAGCCCAGCACAATGAAACTTTCCCCTGTTTAATGGCAGAAATTGCATTAAAAGTGGTGGAAATGCCCTAATTAAAAATGTACCACTTAAATGATATGCCAAGCGCTCAGCTGCGGAACGGCGTATTTAGCTAGTTAGTGAACTCGCTACTATTTCTTTTAAAATTACATGTTAAAATTTTAAAAGAAATCTTACTTTTCTCTGGTGCAACACATTACAAAGAATGGACAGTCCTTTTATCTAAATATAAAATTCCATTTTCAGCAATTATAGCCTGTTCTTGGTGATGATATAATTACAGCTGTGCTCAGTAATAGGTGTCAAGGCAATGCACACTCATACAATAGTTGAATAAAACTGCAGAACAATGCAGGCACTTCTAAATTCACAACCTTTAAAATGAAATTGACTGTGCAGAATTCAAATAAAAACTGGATAAATATTTTTTTAAAAAGATTACAAGCTTGGTTTGGTTTCTTAATAGCATTTTCTGCAAACCTATCAACATCTAATTGATTAGATAGGAATTACTGATTATAGATAATCTGAAATACTGAACATCACTATTTTAAATATAGCAATAGGTAAATAAATGCAGCAGACAGAGGAGACCGCCATGGCACTCCAGCAGGGATTCATGGAAAGAATCACTTTCAGGGGAAGGTATTTTTATGCAGGTTTTATTCCAGAGGGAAAACAAAATGAAATTAAGACCAGGTGATGGTAATTCCTCATCTCCGATGTTTACGTAAGGCTGGAAACAGAAATGTTTCCGTGTTACCTGTGCCATTAGCGCCGCGTTGCTTTGATACCCGAGACATTTTCAAGGGAGGGTGTCAGCAAACATGGCTGAACTCGTTTCCAGTTGCATTATTTCCCTGATAGGGATCTTCAAACACGAGTACCTGCATTTCACTTTCCGACTCTCTCGGTTCCACAGATGGCTGTCCGCAACAGGAGGGAGGAGGGGAAAACACTAACTCCATCAGCTCTAATGGAGAAGACTCAGACGAGGCCCAAATGAGACTCCAGCTGAAAAGGAAGCTGCAAAGAAATAGGACATCCTTTACCCAAGAGCAAATCGAAGCCCTTGAGAAAGGTGAGTGACATTTTCCTATGGCTGAAGCAGGAGAGAAAACAAAATGTTGCCCCGACTACATTACCAGCCAAATGTTGCCACAGCCATTCCTGTGCCTTATATATATGTATATATTTAAACTCTGGGGCTCCCTCCGTGCTCTTTTATTCACAAATATTCATTAGCCCTGCAAAGCTGTTGCAATGGTTTTCAAAGGCGAGGTGTTCAGGGCAGGCATCCCACCGATGCCGCACCCCGGGATCCTCTCGGGGGGATAACTCTCCTCTCATCCTCTGTGCTGCCTTGCTGGGGAGGCGAGCACAGGCAGGGGGCTGGCAGAGCCCTCCACGCCTGCCCCCACCTCACTGCCCATCCCCAGAGCCCGGGGCTGGGAGCAGGTGCCCTTTTCCCTGGCCGGCCTGGGCGCACCTCGCCCCTGACCCGCCGCGGAGCTTTGTCCTGGTTTTGCGCTGCTATCCGGCGACGTGCCATTTCGCTTCTTGGTGACAGGGTCACAGCTGCCTTGGGGACCCCCTCGGTGGAGGCAGAAGCCCTGGCTGCTTCTTGAGAGATGCAGCACTGCACCCAAGCCTGCCCATCCCCATGGCAATGCTCCCCAGCAGGCAAGGCGTCCTCCTCGCTAACGCACAGGCAGAAAGCTCAGCTTTGCCCTTACAGTGATGCTTCTTAGGAGCATTCAGAGCACAGGCAGCGCAGGAACAGCTCTGGTTTTACAGTCAGCCACATCAACTCTGCAGCTAATGCAAGAATATTTCCTTCTGCAGAATTTGAGAGGACCCACTATCCTGATGTGTTTGCAAGAGAGAGACTAGCTGCTAAAATAGACCTGCCTGAAGCAAGGATACAGGTACTGATTTGCTCTGCAATTGTGACTATTATTATTTTTACTATTACTGCTCTGATTTTGTTACTCCTGGCTTCTCAAAGCATGGGGCAAGGCATATTTATGATCAGATATTTGCCCACATCCCTCTTTCAGGAATATAGCAGCAGCTGGCTTTGCTTTCCCCCGCTGCTTTGCTCTTGGGCTGCGTGGGGGAGGCCCTGTGCCTCTGTTCCTTGTAAGGTCACTCACATCTCTCAAATGCTGTGTTTCCAGGTGTGGTTTTCCAACAGAAGGGCCAAGTGGAGAAGGGAAGAGAAGCTGAGGAACCAGCGAAGACAAGCCAGCAACACTCCCAGCCACATTCCCATCAGTAGTAGTTTCAGCACAAGCGTTTACCAGCCGATCCCACAACCAACCACCCCCGGTAATGCCCCCAACACACTCACCTCCATCCATCCATCCATCCATCCACCCACCCTCTGGGCCAAATGAGACTCTGAGGCTGTGCTGCCAGTTGCAATTGTGGTTAAACTAATGTGTCCGTCTATCTGTCTATTCTATTATAGTTTCCTCTTTCACATCAGGTTCCATGTTGGGCAGGACGGACACGGCGCTCACGAACACGTACAGCGCGCTGCCGCCCATGCCCAGCTTCACCATGGCCAACAACCTGCCTATGCAAGTGAGTCCAGTGCCACGCCAGGGCACAGCACTCCCTGGGCACTCAGCAGCCCCAGGGCTGTGTGGGAGTGTGGGTGGGGACCCTTCCTCCGTGCCACGAGGGATTACAGACCCAAACCGTGCTGCAGTGGCATCTTTTCAGATGCTCTGTTTGGAGGAATGAGAAAGGAAAAGGGCACTGAAAGATGTGGTGCTCAACAGGCACTTTTCTCAGGTTCTCAAAGAGAAAAGTCCTCAGATTTGCAAGGCAACAAATCTGGGATTAAAAAAAAAATGCTGTTTGGGGAAAAAAAAATGTGGTTAACCTCTGGAACTTGCTGATGCCATATTGTGGAAATTGCTGCCTGAATAAGCTGCTGGAGGGATCCGACCTTCTGGATGTAGGTAACGTGGCAGAGGCACATTAGGAACACCTGAGAGAGGGAAGGATGTGATTAGCATCAGTGGTTATGCCAGCTAAGCCAGAATTGCAAGAGCTGTCAATCCTCATGCCTGAAAGCATTAGCTGATCACCAGCTGGGTTAGGAAGAAATCTATTCCTTTGGGGTCTGTTTCTATAGACCTTTCAGATGCAAAATTCCTCCTTTTTTAATGGTGGGGTTGGCCTAGGAAGGTGCTGGCCAATTACGGGAGTTTTACAGCTTTGTCTGAGGCGCACAGCATTGACCACTGCTAGAGACAGGCGAGCAGATTAGAGAGCCTGACTCCTTCGCTGCGGCAATTACCATGTTACTAATTGCTGAACCAAAATTAACCAAATAAAGTTAGAGTCTCGCAAGTCTGTGGAAAGAAGCGGTGCTGGCCGGGTCGCTGCTCCGTGACGCGCGAGGCCGGCGGCGCCGTCCCCGGCAGCAGGGCTGGCAGCAGATGACAAAAGATCAAAAGGCTGATCCAGGAGGGGACCCTTGGGAAAGCAGGAGGCCCCTGGTTCACCGCTGGGCACCTGGGCAGGGACACAGCACGTGTGAGGCTGGCTGGAAAGCGCTGCCTGCGTGGTCAGCGTGGCAGGGCAGCCAGGCGGGTCGGAGGGATCTCTCTGTGGGTGCACGGAGCGTTGTGTGCTCCCCCAGAGCAAATGGGGCTCTCAGTGAGGGCTGCTGGCTTGTGGCAGGGGTGTGCAGGCAGGAAATGTGTGCAGATGTGTTGGGTCTGCTGTGCTCGAGGTGGGAATTACTCATCCTGCTTCCCACTGCCTCGCTGTGCTGGTCAGCACTCACCCGGCAGCCTGGAGCAGGAGAAGGCTCTGCTTGGTCCCTCTCCAGCACTGTGCCATCCCTCAGCCCCTGCCCCAGCTGCTGTCCCCCCTGGCACATTGGGGTTTAGGGCTTGGAGTTGAGGTAAATGGAGATGTCTGTTCGGGGATGCTGCTGGCGCAGGTTTGGGGTGGCGGATGGGGATCAGTGATGGGGATCGATGCACATGTGTGTGTGGGGTTGGGGGATTCCCCTGCACAGCCTTGGTCCCCTCAGCCCCACATGTGGTCTGTGTGCATGTGCCCCACGCTGGCAGATGCAGGACCAGCCTCTGAGCCTCAGTGGAGTGGCTTTAGTTACAGCACCAAGCGTGAGGTGACTAAAATATTGGTTTTGTTTTAGTTACAGCACCAAGTAGGAGGTAAGATGCTGGCCCTGTCTCTGGCTCCCAGTGGTAGGAGACATTTTCCAAAAGGAAGATGGGTATAAAGCAGGGCAGCACTCAGGTTTAGGGATGTAACCCCTCCATCAGCATCTGGATGTAGGGATCTGCTCACCAAGCACGTCTGAAAAAGCTCCAGTAACTGTCCATATTGGTTTTTAGCCCAAAAGCCTCCATGAAGGGCCTGCTTTGTTTGTCTCCTAAATAGGTCTTTACCCTGGGGTGCCTGAATTTGAAACGTGAAGCTGATTTTTTGCTGTCTGAGGGCTGGCACGTCCATGCCCGAGGGTGTGATGCTGCCTTCAGCTGCAGGGCCACTCACCACGTTGTGCTTTGCCCCCACAGCCCCCGGTGCCCAGCCAGACCTCCTCCTACTCCTGCATGCTGCCCACCAGTCCATCGGTGAATGGACGGAGCTATGATACATACACCCCTCCTCACATGCAGACACACATGAACAGCCAGCCCATGGGCACCTCTGGCACCACTTCCACAGGTGAGTGAGTGACCCCCCTGCTCCCCCAGCCTCCCTGCCAGCCTGCCTTGTCTGCTCCAGCCATCAGAATTCACCGTATTGGCTGTGAGACGTCTCTCCCCATCGCTTGGGGAGCTCTCTCTGCTGGGATTTGTTGCTGCCACACCAGGCAGAAGATGAAAATATATAACCTTGCAAACTAGAGCAAAAAAAATTCTGATTTTTAAGCTGCTTCTTGGAGGGCTAGATGGAAAGAAAGCTGATTAGCAGAGATGGTGGGGAAATAGCAGGAGAGAGGCAAAATCTCCAGTGAACCCCCCATCCCTCAAAATCTTCCCTGTGTAATTAAAATCTAAATCAGCATTTATTTCAGCATTAAATTTCAGCAGAGGTATCCACAGTGGTGAGGTTAAGTGTATGTGAAACTGTTTGCAGTACTGGGCGCATTTTTACTGTGTCTGTGTCAGATGTTATTTATTGCTAAAGGTTTGAAGTTATCAAAGAGGCAGGGAACCTGTAGAAATATTAGCCCATGCATAAAAAAGGCAAATCAGGGTAAAAAAGGGCAAGTGTTAGCAGAAACAGGAGCAATCCAGGCACTTTTTAAAAGAATAGAATTGTTCTGTGTATTTTGGGCTGAATTCTCAACTGATACAAATGAGCAGAGGCAAAGTGTGAAAGTTTATTTATAACAACAATCGGTGAGATGTGCATAATTTCTAAAATATACACACCCCCAACCCCTGGTTCCACAGGCTGGTAGATGGTGAGATTTGATGTTTGCTGGAATAATTTGATGTTTACTGGAATACAAGCTCAAATCTGTGAAACCGTAAAGCAAAAATAGCGCTATGTATAGAAAAAACTAAAACATCCATTTTCCCTCTCAATTTTCAGGTCTCATTTCCCCTGGAGTGTCAGTTCCAGTTCAAGTTCCTGGCAGTGAACCTGATATGTCTCAATACTGGCCAAGATTACAGTAAAACATGTGTTAATTCCGTAAATGACTATGGACAACAGTTGGATGTTCAGCAGTATTTTATAAAGGAAGAATGGCTCTCAGAGTACTTCTGTACTGCAACTGTGCCCTATGCTGTAACACATGGAAAAGACTTTCACACGGACCTTTGTACACTGAAGGCATTATATCAGTTGGAACAAATCTTCATTTTGGTATCCAAACTTTTATTCATTTTGGTGTATTATTTGTAAATGGGCATTTGTATGTTATAATGAAAAAACAAAAAAAGAACAATGTAGACTGGATGGATGTTTGATCTGTGTTGGTCATGAAGTTGTTTAAAAAAAAAAAAAAGAAAAGGAAAAAAAAAAAAAAAGAAGCCATGATCAACAAGCTTTGCCACGAATTTAAGAGTTTTATCAAGATATATCGAATACTTCTACCAATCTGTTCATAGATTATGGATTGACGTTCCAAGTTTGTATCATTCCATTGCATATAACTGAACCTGGAACAACACGCACTAGATTTATGTAAGAAAAAATATCTGTTGGTATTTCCAAAGGTTGTTAACGGCTGAAGCTGTGTGCAAACAGGGGTTAAGAGAGAGCTGCCATGAAGAAAAGAGTTTGATAGATAAAAGGTAGATTGTGTCTTCGATATAATCCGATTTGTTTTATGTCGAAATGTAAGTATTTGTCTTCCCTAGAAATCTCCCAGAATGATTTCTATAATAAAGTTAATTTCATTTATATTTGACAAGAATATTCTATAGATGTTTTATACACATTTTCATGCATCAAACGTTTCTTTTTTGGTCGGCAAGAGTTAATTGTTCTTAGATATAGTTGTACTACTGTTCACAGTCCAATCATCTTTGTGCATCTAGAATTCATTCCTAATCAATTAAAAGTGCTTGCAAGAGTTTTAAACTTAAGTGTTTTGAAGTTGTTCACAACTACATATCAAGATTAACCATTGTTGATTGTAAAAACCATGCCAAAGCCTTTGTATTTCCTTTATTATACTATTTTCTTTTTAACCTTATAGTGTGGTGTTGCAAATTTTGTTATTGTGCTAGGTTAACCTCATTAAGCTTTATTTTGATTTTATTTTCAGTTTTCAGTAAGGAGGGGCTCTTAAGGAACACTTTATAGAGTTTCAGCCCTTCCACCAGCCTGTAATTTGGGCTAACAAAAAGAAGACAGCCTTAAGTTTAATTTTGATTTTATTTTCAGTAAGGAGAGGTTCTGAAGGGCCACTTTTACAGACTTTCAGCCTGTAACTTGGGCTAACAAAAAGATAGGTTCATGTATCTAACTGTTTATTTATCTGGGGTTTCTGGGGATGCTCTAAATGAACTCCAGAACCCAGAAGAATTTCCAGAGGGGATTTGCACCGTGCCAGGCCTGTGTCTGTCCGTCCCCGTTGTACCTAAAGGACGCACGGACACACGTACACCCAGATGTACACCCCCCACTCCTAAAAATTGGTTTTGTTAGGATGCTTGAAAGGGGGAAAAAAACAACCCAGCTGCGTTTTTAACAGGCTCTTTGGGAGAGTGAATGCCATCCCTTTATATTGCCACACAGCACAATCTTAGTGTAATTTTCCATTGAACTTGTAACCTGGTTAATACCTCAATGCGCTTTGTGTGAGGGTTGTTAGTGTGGGCGTGGGTGGAGAGCTGCATGTCAAGGAATAATGAGAGAAGACAAATCAACAGGCAACAACAATGCGAGCTGGGACTGGCTAGTGAAAGCTAAAGGCCTTTAGTCACTGGCAGGGAAATCTAAACATTCCCATATCTATGAAGCTGGCTCATTGTGCTGCGGTTGTTACTCTCGATGCTGTGCTGAAAAAAGGGATCTCATGATTAAAAAGCCAATGTGAGGGGAGTTTTGAGTCAAAGCACAGGCATCACAAGCAGCCTTTGTAAAGCAGAGGTACCATCCAGGCTGGTTATGTTTTCCTTTTGGCATATTTGATAGCACTTCACTGGAGATTGGGGTAGCAGGGCTGTGCTGCTGAGGCGGCTGCAGTGCTGCAGATGAGATAAAATGCACGTAAACTCAGGATCCTTTGGGGAAAAAGAGCAGCTTTGCTCAAAGCATGAGATGATGGTTATTACAATGAAGAGCTTAAAGCAAGCAAAAATGTGCCTTGATTTTGATACTGGTCAGTTTTAAGTATATTTTAAGTTTTAAAGGCATCCATTCACAAATGTCAAGGGAACAACAGTTTTAAATTTTTTTTGTACACTTAGTACATTTTTTTAGTACATTTAGTAAATTTTTATCAGACCTGCACGTTCCGTATTTATAAGCAAGAGATAAATTGCATTAAACACCACAACAGGCAGGTCTGTCCTCACACGGCTAACTTGAATCCGGGAACAATTAATTACAGGTACAAACCCAGCACTTGTACAGCTAATTACCGTGTTTATACCCACTAATGCAGCTTGTTATGGAAACTTCTGCTCAACCAGGAACGGAAAAAGATCTTCCCATGCCTTCCTCCCCCGACAGCTTCTGCGCGCTGCTCCCGCAGGTGCCGATGCGCGGGCAGGGGCAGCTCCCCATGGCCCTTCCCAGCTCTTCCCGGCCTTGCAGCTCCCCTGCCCGTGCTCCAGCCGCCTCCATGGTGCAGTGCCAGCCCTTCCATGGCGCATCCCCAGCCCTTCCCAAGGTTTTCCCTGCCGGGAGGGGGCTGCGCGACAAAGCCGCGGGATGTGCACGGATGGACCTTGGGATGATTCCAGTGACAGCCCCGCCGGCCGTGGCGGAGAGGGGGCATTTCTGGCTGGCTGGCTGCTTGCCGTGCCCTGTGGAAGGGGAGAAGTGCCCGCCTGGCTGGCTGCACATCGGGGAGAAGCCGGGATGCGCTCGGTGCCCGCAGCCGCTGCCGGGCGCTCCGCGGGGCACGGGCAGCCTTGCCCTGCTGCCAGCCCAGCCAAGGGGCATCGCCCCGGGTGGCATCGGCCCGGAACCCCCGCTGGATCTGCCGCAGCCTGGGAGCGCAGCTGGGAGCGGGCAGGGGATGGACGGATGGATGGACGGATGGATGGATGGATGGATGGATGGATGGATGGATGGATGGATGGAGCACGGCTCCGTGGGGACGTGCTGCCTCGCCAGGCACTGCAGCCGGCAGCAGGAAAATCTTCAGCATGTTCTAATATCCATCTTCACCCCCTTTTTTTCTTCCAGAGCTGTGTTACTTGTGGAGACTGAAATGAGCTGTGATGTATTTGCTCGGTGTAATGCAGCGATTTCCAAGGGTCTCTCCTCTTTTCACCGCTGAAATTAGTGGGAGTTTTGCTATTGATTTCAATAGGAACGAGACATTTCTGTGCATTTGGTTAAAATGTATTTCATAATAACACCTTATACTTTATTTATAAGCCCCTCCTAAGACATTTCACAAATTATAGTCACACAAGAATTGATGTGTGAGCGCTGTCTTAATAACACCGTATTTTGTGTTTCAAATATTGTGCTCTAGATACAATATTTACATTTACAAGTGAAAAGGCTGCTAACCTAACAGTTATTGTTCAGAGCAGACAGATGACGAGCCATGCACGCTGATGGCGAAGCAGACACGCATGGGTGACACACGTGCTGGAGCCGCCTCGCACCGAGCGCACGCCGCCTTTAATTCCTTGTAAAAGGTAAGCACCAGCCAGCATGTGCCCTGCCACAGGAGCCAGGCAGAGCTGCTTTCCCACCCAGGGTGCAGCGCTGAAAGGGAGGTTTCCCCTCTTCTTTTTATTTTCTTTATTAACCCAGCAAAATGCCCCCATGGGCTGGTTCACTTTAGGCAACCCAACGCGGGATTTATTTGTAGGGGCAAGATTACAGTAGCAGACAACGACCTGGGACTGATAACACACTGCTTCCCCCAGGCTTTCCAGCCTTTTGGAAGTCCCATTTCACTCATGTTCAATGGCCAAAGGTGTCTGGCTTCTTTTTTTAAACATTGATTTTTTCTGGTATTACCGACTAAAATATATTATCTCCCTTTCTCTGCTTAATTAATATGTGCAGCTTAGAGTTATGCTAAGGAATAAATTTGTTCCACTTTTCCACGGTAAAAACAGCACTACAAAAACTGAAAATGTGAGGTTCTTTAAATTTTTTTTCCCCCAGTTCATTTCTGTTTGCTCTTGTCCTCAGTTTCAGCAGTTGAGCTTTGTGCATCTGATAAGGGTTCTCCACTCTGGGAAGGGTGTAGTGTCTTCTTTTAAAATAACTCTTCTTTTGCAGCCCTGTTTTTGGTCAGAGTGTGATTGGCACCTACAGACACCCCAAACAACACCCTCCTCAATTGGAAACAGGGGAGGGAATTGGAATTATTGGTGTGGGAAGGGGGTCTGGGGTGGCTGCTTGGTCCATTCCAAGGGAGAGAAGGCACTTTGGGAGTGTTTTTCTGGCTGAAGAGTGCAGGAAACCCCTAAAGCCCCGTGGCAGAGCCTTGTTCCTGCTCTTTGGGTGGAAAACAAAGCAGAGAATGTAGCTCCTTTTGGAGCTGGAGGACGGTGTTAGGGAAGTCTCCCACATTATCATTCATCCTATGTTATCATTCAGTATTTCTTTGAGAAAACAGAGGCTGGAGGAAGCTGCACGAGGTGCACAGTAGTAAAACGAGAGTACAGTTTGGATAGGAGCCAGCTTGGCAGGTTCTCGCTTAAATTAATTCCTCCCCCAACATTCTCTTCTTAGCTGTGAAGAAAGAAAACCCCGGTGCATCAGCAGACAGTTAGGGTGGCTTACCCCGGGTAATTCACCATCCTGAGGTGGTTTGCAAAAGTGATCATGTGGAAGATGAGGGTGTTTTCATAGGTTCTGCAGAAATGAAAGCCCAAAGCAGTGAAGGCGTTTGATCAGTCTGGTAATGTGTGCTGCTGATGTGCTGTAGATTTCCATGAGACCCCCAGCTTCCAGAAGTCCTGCTGTATCTTTGGAAGGTGATGGAACCCTCCAAGAAACCTGCTTTCCTTCGAGTTTTGACCTCTTCTGACTGCCTTTCAGCACACTGAGAATTTCAGGGCCTTCTGTGCTGCTCCCTTTCCCCATCCTGGTTGTATCCCTGGTGAGAGGATGACGATTTTGAAAATGTGTGTCTGATGCTGGTGGGCTGTGTGCTGGGGCTGCGGTGCCCCCACAAAGGACTGTGATACTGGTTTTGCTGGGCTGGT